AGGTAGTGCCAGTGCGGATCATAGAGAGTAATGAAAACCAAATAAATAAATGTATGAGAGAAATCAAGAGAAACAACATTCAGTTTTGACTCAGATCGATGTATTTAAGAAAGACATATAAGATGTGTAAGATCCTCCCGCTTACAATTTTTAGGAACGGGGAATATTCAATCTCTGGAAATAATATTAACCGATAAATTCATCAGCCATTTATTATAAGGAGCTTATAAAAACTACATATCTTCCATTGAGGTTTCCTCAGTTGGAATGAAAATGCCTTTATCTTTTTTATCTTTTCATCAGGCTTTTTCGTTTGCGTGTTGGATCCACCTGCTATGTAAATTAAGGGATAAATTTGTTTAGGTTTTGAAATCTCAAAGCCAAGATTGTTTGTTAATTGCTTAGTCCATGATTTAACAAAGAACTAGAGAGGTCACGTACTAGCTGTTAAGGTAAGCAAAGTTACCACCGCTTCTCTCTCGAAGAACCTGAAAACCCCCAGCTACAGTGCACAGAAATGGCCATGGAAGCAGATCTCCATATTTAAACCTTTAAATGCAGCTGCACCGTTAGAATGTTTAAGGCAACGGTCAGATAAAAACGTTTCAATTTCCTCTCCGGGACACCCGTTATAAGTATGGCGGAAAATTAAAAACTCATTTATAAGAGAGGAGGATCTGTCTCGAAAAAACGTTGCATGCACATTAGTGCAAGAGCGGATCTCATGGGGATATGCAATCCAAATAAATAAATGAGATTAATCATGAAAAACAACACTCCGTTTTGATTCCTATCGATGAGACGAAGTGACATACCAGAGCACGAGTGACCGGCTAGGTTCTGTTTTTTAACATAAATTTCATTTAATTATCTCTTTTCTAGACCATCAACACCTACACTCGTCAATTAGAAACTACTTAATCGTGGAAGAGGATGATCCCTCCCGACAAAACGGTGATATCAGAGCATGACTGATTATTGTGTCCTTTTTACAACAATGCTCCTTGTTGGCTTAAGCTTGTTAGCTCAGTCGGTTAGAACACTGCACCGGTATCGCAGTGGACTTCTTAACCGCTGATTGGCTAAAACGTTTTGGAGCTCACTTTAAAGGTGAGCACACCTGCTATAATTCAGGCTGTGTTCCAGTGACTTTGCCACGCACACACTCAGAGGAAAGAAGAAAGTTTCAGAAGAGACGCCTCTATTTTGAGTCTTTGGTGAGTACTTTAAAAGAGTTTGAATTCACGTTTCGTTCTTATTCTTCTACTGCACGTTAGCCAGTCTAAATTTGCTTGACTGATGTTTAGAAAAATGTAGGGTATTGATATTATTTGGAACATACGAGAAAAATTGTACTTGAATCAAAGAGTATTGCGGATTCAGTGGTGTCTAAAGTTTGCCCCGATCCCGATCGCAACGTGTGGTTTCTGGCCCAGTTGCTAAGCGGGCGCTTAAGTTGTATCCGGAAGGCACGGGCTTGATTCCCGTGGAACCTGTTTGTGTATCTTATTCATTCGGTTCAGTAATCCTCTGCCAATCAGTAATTTTGGAACAAGATTTCGCGGCAACAACCATATTCCTGGATGAGCTTTGCTAAATTTTCCCTTTGTCTTCACAGAAATAGGGAAAACTTTCTGCAATTTCGCGGTTTTCTAAAGTGACAGGCTTGATAGTAGAAAAGATACCAGCCAAGAAAGCTTTTTTATGTCTCATCTAACAAGATCCTCGATAAGATCAAAGTTGCTAAATTCATAGAAAAAATTGTGAGCTGGGGTGCTGAGTCTATTGAAGACCACGGAACTACGTTTTTTTAATCTTTAAGTCATTGCTCGCGAGAAAAATTTGACAACTGCTCGTGCTCGCAAAAATAAACACACCGCTCGCATGCTCGCAAATGCTCGCAAAGACCATTCGACAAACCTTACTGGGGTTAGATCCTGTTCAGCTTTAGGACGTTACATAATTGCCGAACGTTATCCAAATTCAGTAAATCGTGTCTTTTTACCCTTCAGTGCAAGTCGTGTTCTTAACGAGTCCAAGAGATGCAAATTGCATTTGTGACTGAAACACCTATTAATTGTAACGAAGCACGCAATTCTCTCCCTGTTGAGAAAATGCGAATAAATTACACGCTGGTAGTCATCTGTGAAAACTTTCTGAACCATGATAACTCGGGCAACAGAGAAAAATTTGTTCACTTTTGGAATATTTTATTAGACTGATAATTACAAGGGATTTGATTTTGGCGATCGTTGTATACTATCAGAAAAATTTAAGAATGAAAGGTTACTTATTCAAACGAGGTCTATCTCAGTTGGCTGCGGTTTCAGGAAAACGGTGGGCGTGAACATTTCATATTGGGCTGTTTGGTGTAAATAATAATTTTTTCATTGTTAATAACAATTGACCGGACCCCCCACTGGAAGGCTCTGTAATATTGTTGTAACCCCCTCCCCCCCCACCACTTGCAGTTAATTGACAGTCAATTTAAACTCTGTTGGCTATCAATGATCCTCTGTCGAAAACGCATCAACAAGTTTCCTAGTTAATCAGCTCCTTTATTCTAAGAATCACTCCGCTTAAACTCCAGGCTTAACTACAGCATCAACCGACACGAGCGCATGCAGGATCGCTATATTTAACGAAGCAGGCTACACGATACCTAGGAGTATAAAGTAAATTCTGGGAAATTGAGTGAAGTCATTTCTGGTCATACACAACAAAGAACAATAACAATAAACGAATTAGGGCATTGTTTCGTCATCCTGTTTCCCCTGAAAACCATGTAAATCTCCCCCAATTCTTCGCCCTCCCCTCCCCTCCCTCCCTCCCTCCCTCCGGCCCTGGGTGAGAAATAACGACTGGTCCTTTAGTGAAAAGCCTTCTTGACGCTTTTCACTCAAACCAGCGTTAGTGCGCGAACCAACCGGTTTGGGTAAATTGAGGATGGTGGCTGAAAATAGCTAATCTTTGTTTGTCAATTAATAATGGTTTCGAAATATTAACAGAATGGAAACAGGTCAGATTTAATTAGAAGTCAGTTTAATCATTCAATCTCTCCATTTTTTGTGGGTTGGGGATCACCAAGGTTGAGTTAAAAATTTCAAGCTCCTTTCAGTCACTCCCTCACTCGCCTCAGTGCTCGCTCGTTCGTTCGTTCGTTCACCGTTCGTTCGTTTACCGCTTTTACACTGGTGTTAGGAACGGAGCCGAATTTAATTTTTTCGTCTTTATCGGTTGTAAAACACTGTGATAATCGATTTAGTTGACCTTATTCATCCTTGAACGCATTTGTGATCTCGAATTTTTCCACTTTCCAAGTTACGAGTATGACACTCACTCAAACACTTTCTTTAAAACTCCAGCAGAACTAACCATGGCTCGTCAAACCATTTTGTGGATCCTCATCTTTACTGTGTGTAGAGTGACCCCAGTCATTTTAGCTGAGGATAAGTTCTATTGCCACAATCTGCAATATGCTGGCCCCATAAAAGATGTAATAGTGATGAAGCCAACCAAACTTGCTGAGAAGACATCCAATGCAGCTAAGATAGGCATTGGTTTCGCAAAAACCATGATTTCAAATACTCTAGGAGATATTCCAGTAGTAGGGTCCATCCTGAGTGCGCTGTTTGATGAAATAGCCGATGTATATGGACCTGGAGGAGGCCTGGATCCAGAAGACGTTTACAACAGCTTGAAGGCCGAAATCGATAAGCTCAAAGAATACATGGATCAGGAAATTTTAGAAGCGAAATTGGAGGACATCAAGAACGCATTTGGAACGAGAAATGGAGGCATTCTCAGCTATGCGATGTACTGCCAGAAAACATACAAGAATGCAGAAGACATGGCCCCTTGTTTAGAGAATGTAAACGCTTTGCTGACCTCACAGTACCACAACTTCCTGCCACCAGATGGTAAACCGGTCAGTTTCTACGAGTCTTCCTTGCCATTGTTCCGCATGTATGGACAGCTGTATGTGGACACACTTCTAGAAATGATTGGTGCGGCAAGAAAGAGAGGCAAGGAGAGTCAAGCGGCTGCAAAGGCAGACACCCTGATCAACAAAGTGGCAAGATTCAAAGAGCATTATGAAGAATCTGTCAAAAAAATCAAAGCTCATCATACAGCGGTGCACATCATGCCGGAGAATAATGGAAACTGTGCACCTCTTCCACACGTCGGTGTTACTATGTGTGTCTGCTCGATAGCCATTGGACCCAACAAATTCGATGAAGCAGAGATCAAAAAGAAGGGCAAAAGTTCAAAAGACTGGTGTGTTGGACTTTACTATAACAGTAACACACACCCTTGCTCGCGGGCCAAGAGGGATTACAAAACCGGTAGTTACCATATAACACGCGAACTTGCTATTCAATCCTACTGGGAGAAACAAGTGGGAGAAACAGTTATGAACTGGGTGAAGATAGCTAACGAGCTGAAACCACTGAAGGAAAATATGAAGAGGTACTAACACCACCAGTACTACAACAACTACTATAATTACTATTACCACTGCTACTACTGCTAATATTAATATTATTATTATTATTGTTATTATTATTATTATTATTATTACTACTACTGTTACTGCTACTACTTACACTACTACTATTACTGCCATTACTTTCGCCTAATAAATACAAAATTTACTATTTGTATGTTTTAGGTCACTGTCCTTTCGAGAGAGAATCCAGTTTGATCAGGAAGTCGCAGCTTACCATGCCAGAGTGAATCATGGGATGTAGTGACAAGGAACACAGGAGTGACAGCCAGCTGATGATTGATTTGAAAAGTGTGCGTCTTTTTTTAATGGATTGACCTAGTTAGTCTGTAATCGGTTTTTTATCAAGCTGATGATTTTTTTTTTTCCGGTTTGTTCGTTAAAATTTTAATCGTGGGTAATATTAGGGAAGTTAAAAATAGTTTTTTTTGTCTAATCCACGCTCATTAGAGCTTATCACGTTTCAAAAGTTTGTGAAGCGTTTTTTGGTAAAGAGGAAAGAGGTAATGAATAAATTGGTGAGTTATCTTGGAAAATGGTGTTTTTTTTTCAAATGAGAATGGGAAGACAAACGGTGCGTATGGGTTGCTAGGTTGCTATTACTAAGCAAAGGTTTGATCATAAAATTACTTAGACTCATAATGGGTGTGAGAAACCAAAATATTCTACAACTTCCAAGAATGAACTAAAATATACAATGCCGGAACCCATTTATCGAGGGAGGGGAAGAAAAGAATGTGATCGTAGTTGGTTTCACATGGCCTTTATACAATCAAGAGAATTTCGTCATAGACAGTAAAACGCTTAGTTATACACTTGCACTGTGCCAAAGACTGTACATATAAACACCATAATGATAATAATAATAATAATAATAATAATAATAATAATAATAATAATTGTT